AGCGGGGCAGCGTGACGGTGAACACGGCAGCCACGGCGGCGAACACGGCCACGCTGCCGCGGAGGCCTCCGGAGCGCCGCAGCCCCGCTCGGGCTGCCGGGGGGAGACTCGGGTAAAGTACTCGCAGGCCGCGCTCCTTCCAGCTTCCTGTCCCCATCGCTGGGGCTCAGCGCAGGGTTCCGAGTTCCAGAACTGCCTGCCCTCGTTCCGGTTCTGGATCTCTGGCCTCTTGTGTTCTAGAATTGTCCCGCTTCCGTGGCCTACAGCCATTAAACTTAATTCCTGTCCACTTGCCGCCGATCATTTTTACTTTCCGTTCCTTTTTAGTCCATAATATTACCTACTCAGCCCTTACAGTGTTACAGACGAAAAGACCGACAGTAGTGAACAAACATCCAAAACGTTCTAATGTACTTAGACATGACACGAAGAGTTACTAAATAAACAGTTTTAGTGGCGATGGATTACGGAGGCACTAAGAAAATGTGCCACTAGAGTGGCAGTGTGTAGTGGGACCTTCAGAAGATCAGGAAAAGCCTCCCAGGAAGTTATGATAGTTAGAACCTGACTATTAAGAGGGGAGCTCTTAAACAGGGGGCCGAGTTCAGCTTAAAACACCTCTCTGTGGGAAAAGAAAAGCCTGTCTCACACAGATGAAGACGGGGCATAATTGTTACATATTTGAGTCTAGAAACAAAATTCCTGGTTTATTTTACAGTCAGATCAAGTGACCAGTAATTCCCCAAAATAACCAGCTGTGTTTCAGAATGGTGCCGTAACAATAGTGAATCTATTTCCTGGAGAACCCTTGAGTTCACTATCTGATACGTTCACTCAAATTTGGTGACTGAAGCGGGGTACATTTATCATCTCCCAGCCTGGGGATCAGTAGCTCTCTCACTATGGTGTGGACCGGAGTGGCAGACCTCTTGTCTCTGTTTGGGGGGGGGCATCTGCTTCTAAACTCTAGTTCTTTGCTGCGTGGCTCTCTCCATAAAATAGCTGATTCCCGTCAAAAGGAAGAGATAGAGCGTTCTGTCTGACATTCTGTCTGTCATTTTGAAACCTAATCCTGGAAGTGATATGCCACTGCCCTGTTTTATTTGAGGGAGTCAGTAAATCTAGACCAGTTCAAAGGGGAGAGGATTACACGGCCAGAAAGCCAGGAGATGGGGATTACCGGGACTGGCTTCAAGATTGCCTGCCACACGAAGAGTCCTTGATGCTCCATTTTCAGGTCGTCTCCTCTTTCGGGTTCCACTGAGCAGTTACTGGGGACTGTGTTTGGGAATGGAGTTACCAGCTTTCCAAGATTAATATTAATAGTGAAGTAGTTTTAGGGTGGCAAGAGGCTTGATCCTGGAGAGTGTTATTTAGAGGTTAGATAACTGTACCCAGTAAAGGATACCTGCAATGGCTTATGGTTGTTGGAGCCACAGACGTAGGATGAGAAGCATAATAACACTGCATTTCCTGTGTGCACACACCGTTCTAAGTGCCTTTTAGGGGTTTTCCCTTCAGCTGCACTAGGAGGTAGGTGCTGTTCTCTTCTTTTGTAGGTGAGTGAAATAAAGCTAACTAAAGTCACAGTGAGTGAGGGTCATCCAAAAAACCTAAGCATGTCGACTCTAGAACGTTCTCTCTTAATGCCGACTCAGAAGAATTTTGGGGCATTGTTAAATTCGCCATCACACATAGTGATAATCTTTTTAAATTGTTGCCTTCTTTCATAATTCTGTATTTCATGTGTTACCAAATGAATAAAGTGGTGTATTCATCAGAGTTAACAGATTTCTTACATGTTCTGATGTTTTATGATCATTTTCGGGACTCATCAGTGAGCTATTTTCAACCATATGCCAATGTGGAAATTTTGTTTAAGCTTACCTTTGATCTTGTTTCTGTGTTGAATATACTTGAATGTTTATGAAATATATATTCTGCCAATAAACAGAACATATCTCAAAACCAAATAAAGCATGTGCTCTTCCTGATGCGTCTTAAGTTTTACTTGGTGGATCGACCACATGTGGCATTGCACTACTAGACATGGTTAGTTCTCATGATCCTTGAGAGAAAGAATTAACTTATAGATGAATTTATATATGTTAAATATAGTGGTTTTAATGGGCAATATATGGGCATATGTACACTTGAAGCATTTACAGACAGCTCTGGGCTTGCACCTAGTTTGCATCTGGGACAGCAAAGCTGTGTGTCTCAAACCGTAATATACTACGAATTGCCCAGCAAGTTTGGTAATGTCAGAAAACCTTCAGTAAGTTTTGTTCTGATACAAATGGCCCTTTAATTTAACTGAGGAAACGCCACTGACAAGGGCTTGAGGAAGCAAGCTCTGGCAGGTGCTGAGTTTAGTACTTCCACTGCCTTCCTGTTTCTCCCCTACAGGAAGAGCATTCCCTTTGCTCTTGACCGTGGATACATTATAGATTTTGAACAGTGGCAGATTTTTGCTTAGATTGAACTTTGCCAAGAATTGATAGAATTTTGTTAAATTCCAAATTTGTCTTTGTAGCAACAGAATTCCGGGGGTAAAAATACAGATTTATTTGTTTATTGTCAAAAAGCAGAGGAATGGTATTAGTGTTAAAGTATAGTTTGGACACAGTCTGGATGGGAGAGAATGGTGACTGAAAGCTGGAGCTTATGGTATACTTTGTCCCACAGATAAAAGCAAAACCAGATCAAAACTGAGCTAAGCCATGGAGTAAAACTAAGATCCTGTCTTTGAGTAGTTACAAAGGAAAGAGTTATACACATTTTTAGACTATAAACAATTTCTCTAAAAGAAGTGTTCAAGATATCAAAAATACTTCAGTTTCTGAGGTGTCAATATCAGTAATTGACCTGAGTAATCAGTATTTGTCTGGTCGCCCTTAGGGGCCTCTGCGAAACAGTCATTGGCTGAAGAAAAAGGCTTCTGAGTAGTAATGATGGCAGTGTGGTATGTCTTCACCTCTGTGTGCTTGGTTTGTGTTTGAGTCTTTGTGGGTAGCCAGAGAGGGCACAGGTGGTGTTTTCTGGGCAGAGTCCTAGGAGGACTATGATGATGTTTTTAGACTTGGTGAGAGAGAGAAATGAAAGCAATTAGCTAGAATATTCTCCTCTGTAGGAAGCTGCTAGAGTTTCCGGCGTGCTCTGTGGAGGAGAGGAAGTGGCTAACTGGCAGAGGATGCTGGGCTGGAGGTGCTTAAGGGAAGGTGTTATTCCTCTGGCAGATTTAGGGAAGGAAGGTGGAGAAATGGTCCAGGTGAGGAGATGAGTGACGAGATGTCAACAAGGCCACCCAGTGGGACGCTGGTGTCCAGATTCGGAGAGCACAGGTAGTGTGGGAACAAGGTTGCCAAAGAGACCTCAGAGCCATTAGGCTTGACTCTCCAAGCCCTTATTCTTGCTAAGATAGCTGGATTTAATTACTAACAGCAGCCATTGAGAAATTATAGACTAGGGATAGGATCCAGCTTCCTGGTTTTGTATAATTTGGGGGAAGGACATTTCAGGCAAGAATAGTTTGGGAACAAAGACACATTGAAGTAGATAGTTAAGTCTTGCTGTAGTCCAGGCCAGGGAAGGTGGAGGTCTACTTTGTAACTAGGACAGTAGAAATTAAAGGCAGAGTTGGTATCTTTTGAGGAACAGAACACGTACACTAGTGCCTTTCCTAATGAGCAGAAGTAACCACAAGTCCCTATTCCAGACCGCGCTGTGCTGCTGTGCCTAGTCAGCAGTCAGATGTGCTCTAGGTACAGTAGCAGATGTCGGGTTACTGTGCTGTAAGCTTAGAAAGAATCACTCTTACTAAGGAGCTACATGTAAAGAAGACAATGATGTAGTGCTTTAAAACCCTAGCTTGTGAGAGAGCTCACCAAAACAGTGCAGACTGTTTAAAGAGACATAAGTTAATGTAGACAAGGTATCCAAATGCCAGCATTCGGGTAACACGGCACATTTGACAATGTCCAAACCTCAAGCTTCTGCACACATTTTATCAGACACCTGATCTTTGTTGTTGTTGTTGTTGTTGTTGTTAGGAGGGGACAATCTCACCAGGTTGCCTATACTGGCCTTGGGTTTATGGTAATCCTCCTGCCTCTGCCTCAGGCCCAAACCATTGTCATCCCTCTTCATGATTACATGTTTAGAAGCCATGCCATGTTCTGGAAAGACCACAGTGTATCACATTCATGCTTTGTCCACGTGTTTGTATATTTGCAAGGAAATAGAGTTTTCAGGAAGGAAAAATGATTTTTTTTCATGAGAATTCACCTGTATTTCCACTGACCAGTTACTTAAAGCTATTGAAGATAGTTTGTTAATAAGACCTAAGGGAGAAAGGACTCTTAGACTGTTTCATGCTGCTAAATCTCCCCAGATTTACAGTTTTATCCAGTCAAATTAATGCAAAACCCCAATGCAAGCATCCGGATTTTGGAAACTTTGGAGGAGTGTCATTCTGTAATAGTAATTATTGGTTTTACATTATTTTTTCACAGGGGAACTGATCACAGCCGCACATGAGCTTGGAGTAAGTATTAGTTTTATTGTTTAATCAATGCTCTCATTAACAGTTTTAGGAATTAAGAAAGTTTAATTAAGCATGGAATAAAGTAGATTAATTTATTTTCAAGCCCTAGTTTTTAGTAACTTATAAGTACAGTACATGACAATTTACTTTAAGTTTTAAATCCAATTAACAGAAATTATAAAGCAAAGCCTTTACTATATATACAGTAGCTGGCTTATTATCATCCCAAATTTTGTATAAGCTGTGGAGAATAAATCGGGTTAACAATTTTAATAAGTTTATTATTTAATAAACTTTATTATGGTGTGTGATCCCTTTAGTCAAGACCTTACAACTGTCAGCATGGTGGTAATCCGATAGCAGTGTGGTCTTTCAACTCTCACCAAGACAATGTTTCAGGACCTGCCTGCTGTCAGTAACTTTTTCAGTGACCCGAATGTACTGCAAACCTAGAGCACAGACTCCTTAAGAACTGGCAGTAGGATATGTCCCCCTCTCTTTAGGTGGTGGACCATGCGATAGGCACACCAGATCCACTGAAGAAAATAGCTGTACTGGCACAGGAAGATGATAATAGGAAGCCACGATTCAGACCTTTGGTCATGGGGCATAGTTCTCATGCTCGCCTGAGAACAGAGCTCCTTTTCCCTTACAGCCAGTGTGACATCTTCCCAGATGAAAGCGTCTGATGTTGCCTCTATTTTCCATAGGTTGCCCATCCTCCTGGCTACCCTTTGTTCACGCTGGTGGCTAGCCTGGCCATCACACTCTTCCCATTTGGTTCTGTTGCCTACCGCGTCAATCTTCTCTGCGGCTTATTTGGAGCGGTGGCTGCTTCGCTCCTTTTTTTCACCGTTTTCAGGTAAAGTAGTTGATTAGTTAATTTTGAGAATTAGAGACGTGGGTTCCCCATGGCCAGTTACATGCTTTCGTAACATCTTTTGTTGCTTGAGTGGCTTCCCTTAAGTCACATTAGTTCACTCTATGATGGGAATTTCATAAGCCTTAAATGTTTACACAGTTGGCGCTGCTTTGTACAGTGGGCTGAAGGTGTCACCTGTCCGTTGTCATAGTTCTCTGGTCAGGCAGGACTAATGAGGACTGTCATTTTACAAAGAAGAGGGTGGGCTGACTTAACTCAGCGAAGCAAAGCTTGTCTTTTGTAGATGGTAAATTCACTTAATTACCCACCATCCTGCAGATGGGCAGCTGCCTCTCAGGCTGGGCCTGAGACCTGATTATATTCTAAATACGAGCGTATTGTATGCTGATGGACACCGGGCTGTCACATTTGGGGTGTGGCTTTAGTGCGGTTTCACGCTGTCCCACTATAGCCCTAGGCGAGGAAGACACACTAGATCCACCGACTGGTGATGGAGTCGGTCCTGGTGGGAAGCTACTGTGTTTTCAGTAGACTGGTCACTGGTTTAGGACATGGGTGAGCTCTTTTGTCTCCGTTCTTAACTTAGTCTATTTCCGAAGAGCACAACACCAAAAAATACAAACTGTACTTTGTAGAAAAATGGGAAAAAGCAAAATCCTGTATCCAAAAGCTTTTGCAAGCTTTTCTTAAGTAAAAATAAATTATGTAAATGTAGTATAATTTGAGTAGATTCCATTTCCAAAGTTAATTTTACCAACTACCATTTTTGGTATAATAGTCATAGTATTGCTCTTTAAATTCTTTCTAAGCTTCTTTTGAATCACTTACAGAAGTGGAAAGACTAACATAATAACTCGAAATTTACTTTTAAATCTATTTGTGGAAAGAATTCAGAATCAACTATTATAGTTTTGACAATTTACTAAATTTTATCCATACCACTCGATGGTTTCTATTTAATTACATATTTTCATTGATAGTCAATCCTTTAATAGTCAGTGTTGAAAACAAGGGCCTTGCCTGGGCTACTTATTGTTATGAATGTCTTTTCTAAAAGCTTGGAATAATTTTGATTAAAACTGTTTCTTCTGAATCTTCTATGACTAAATATCTGCCAGTTTCCATTAAGAGAAAAACTTATTTTTTTATTTCTAAATATCTGGGTTGAAATTTGGAACTTAACCTGTTCAATATTGAAGATTTGAATTATTAACGTTCACAAGAAACTTTAAAATAGTCACTCCAGTGCTATGAATTGTGTACACGTGCTCATTCTGAGGCTGGTAAGGCCATCGGTGTTCTGAAACTTCATTTTCTCAAATATTGTTGATGGCATTCCACAGAGAGCTACTATTTTTAAAAATCATATAAAAATCTCTTGCAAATCCAAATAGTTTTAGACAATAATTTTCCTTTAGTTATCCAGTTTAAAAAATAGGTTTTATTGCTGATTGTGCTTGATTATGTGAGTTTTAGATGCGCACATTGACATGTGACTGATTTCTTACAGCACGGATGGCAATCATCTCACTTGCTGATGCTGTGAATCAGAGTTCTAATACTACTAAAATGGCTATGTACATGGTCTTACTAATATAGCGCTTCAGAAAAGTTATTTTCTCCCTGAGAAAGAATCTAACAGCATTATTGCTCACGTGCACTTTAATATGAAATTACTTCATTATTTTCAATACAAATAACTGACAAGGTACATGTCCTTTGGGAACAACCCAGTTCAAGTGGCAAATCTGTTTTGTCAAACAATAGACACCCTTCAGAAAGGAGAAGCCATCTCTATGGTAATAGGACTAACAGTAGCCTATTGATTGAGTGGAAGAAGACATTATACAATGTCAGCTGGCTTGTTACAATTTCATTTGTTGTGTGACCTGAACTTGACCTCTGAAACCTTCTTCTGTGAATGTAAACCCAGCAGCAGGCGAGCTTGGTGTAGCCGTGACAGTGGTGGCTTTCCCAGCCCTGGCCTACAGTAATATATTCCTGTACGGCTGCCTCCTTGCTCAGTTTGTTTAGGAGACATTGCGCGGCTTTGTTCGTTTACAGACCAAATCATCTTTCCATTTCGGTGTTGAAGCAGCTTGGTTCTTTCTTTCTCCCATCACTTAGAGCATTACTGCACATGTAGGGTTAGAGCTGACTGGTGTGCAGTAAATTAATTCTTTTTCAGGTAATTGTGCACATAGCATTCACTGTATTTAGCTCTCGGGATGGACATAAAGACCTTCTGTACCTTTTAAACAAAGATTGTGTTTCAGAAGCAAATTTCTGTTTAAATGTGTTGATGTGAAAAACTCCATTTCTTTCAGTAAACATGACTTAGATTGAAAGAACAACTTATTCATTGCTTCCAATTACTATGTAATTTTTACTTTTCTTGTGTCCTCTTGCATTTAAAAGCTGTAAGATGTCATTAACACTACACTTTTTGTCAGTCTCATAATGTTGGCAGGAACTCCGTTTTACTTGATTTGCTCTGATGCAGAAAGCATCTGAGTGAGCTAGCACACAAAAAGCAGTGTGTGTTACTGAGCTGACATGGAAGGGTGTGGCTCTCTGGAACAGTGTTTCCTCTGGGACGGTGAGCGCTTGCGTTTGTTAGAGGAGCTAATTTTTCATTTCTGTGAGATAATACTCAGTTCATCCCTCTATCTTTATGTTAAGGCTTTGGAATTAAGTTAGTGTTTTAAAAGAGCAACTATTCTTCATTAAAGGCCACTGAAGTAAATCATTTTAAAATTTGATAGTATGTAATTTAAAGTATTCTTATTGGTAATTCATAGATGCTATACATAAAATTTTAAGAAGTTATAGGTAATTGAAATCATAAATATGAATACCATCTAACTTTGCTGACTATTTGAATTTCAAAGTTCTCTTCCAGGAAGCGTCAGACTAGATCCTATTGTAGTGAGTCAGGAAGAATGCTGAGGTCGCAGTCAACTGTCTAGGTCATGTGCTGCTGTCACTTAAAGAGGAGAGAGCACACTGGCAGCAGCGTATAAACGCGCTGTACCTCAGGAAGGGTTAGCTGTTTACAGTCTCCGGGGAGGGCCCATCTTATATCATTTGGTAGAGGAGGTACAAGGTAGGAAATACATTCTTGATAGCCTTGAAAGTCAGCAAAGGAGGATGAGGACGAGGAGGCTTTCCAACTGTCCACGCCCCAGTGTTTATTAGGCACCCAATGAGAACTGAAAACAAAGCTCACTGTTTTCACCCAGTAAATAAGCAGATTCTCAGGAGTTCTGAAAGTCCCTGCTCTGACTGTTAGCACTGTGTGATAGGAAGCCAGGTCTCTCAGGGCCAAATGTGCAGACTGTGTGTGTCTATAATCAGTGGTGTGTTAGAACTACAGAGAAATTGCCATCAATTGCAGCAATAACAGTTGAATATCTTCTGACAGGTTATTTTGTGTCCATGTTTTATGCATGGACTTTTTTCTTTTTTATATTATGTGTTTCTAAACATTAATTCACTGCTAAAAATTAATTTGATTATGGTTCTGAAAGTGCTTATTCTGAGCTGCTGTTCTTACAGTTCCCATTAAGATTCCACTCAATAAAGAATAAAACATTAAAATGCCATACCTTGGAGAATGCGGAATCTCCTGCTTAAGGGACATTTGGATTTTCCAGCTCAAGAGTGTTTTAGATTATTGCCAGAGAGAATAATGGGAAGTGCTTCCTAATTTCCGAAGTAACCGTGCATAAGTAACAAGTCGTCACGAGCTTTCGTACTGAAGAAGAATGGGAAGTACCAGGCATTCATTGCCATTCAGGGGGATATCTGTCTTGATCCCTGGTTAATTGATCATATATTTTTCTCATACTTGTATTAAAATTGCATAGACTCAGGCTGGTTAAGCATATTAAGAGCCTGGTTCATTTGCATTTTCTTATAAGTTGAGGGACATATTAGGCTCAAATAGCAGTGCTTCATTTTGAAGGGAGAAAAGCAGGGCAAAACTCTTTTAAGACTGTAGAGTCTTTTCTGACAGCTAGTCAGAGTTAGAATTAGTTCAAGGAGATGTTAATAATGCACTGCCTGGCCTAATCCCTTTGATATCACCAGGTACCCTCCTGTTCATGGGTTAATTGCTTTAAAAGCGAAGGCAATATTCTGAGCGGTGGGCCGCTTCACCTTTTCACAGCTGTTACCATTGAGTGACAACTAAATCCCATGTGTAAGATGAGGAAGAGCTCAATCTCCAATTGGGAGAAAATTTATGTAAACCGCAATCCCTTCAGAATGTGCGGAAGTCATAGACTTTCTTGATTTACTCTGCTTTTCCCAGAAAGCTCTATTGTTCACTTTCCTAAGTCCCATCAACCCTTTGTAGCAGAATATCACAGCGGCAGCAGATAGCTTGAAATATATAAATGCTATCATAGCTCTGATTAATAGCAGTGCTTATGAGTCAAGCCTGATAACAGTGCAGCTCTCCACTCAATTTCAGATACTGCTAATGGAATCTGTCTTCTCCAATTGTAATATGAGAAGGCCTAATTTGCCATGGAGCTTGGAGCTGTCACCAGTAGGGGATTGTGGGGTCAGATGGGAGCTGCCAGGTTTTTGCCCTGCAGCTTGTATCTCTCACTTTGAATAGAGCAGCCCCCTGCCTGCCAGTTAGCTGATAGGCCGCCGTGGGGCTTATGCCACTGTGTACAATAGGCAAGGGCTACATAGGCTGACTTCATAATTGTGAAGCCAGCTCATATTTCCACAGCTACTGTGCTGCATAATTTCTAATAAGTGGTTTTAACAAATGTCAGATTATGAAAAGTTTCCTCAATTACAAAAACTTATAAAACATTTAAATTGCTAAATCTGTTTCCTGCCGAGATTCTTGCTACTGGAACTAGTCATCAGTTATTACTGCTTGACTAATAAATTTACATAGTTCTTAAAATTATAAATAATGACAACTTATAACTCACATGGACTCGCGGCTTCTCAAC